AGACTGTGTGTGTAACAGTATGTGCGTGTGCATGCACAAGCAGAGATGTACTGGGATTAGATAGGTTTTACTATTTCTGTAAAAAGGCTGAAGGACCTGCATAAGGCATGTGACAGGTACATGTTGGGCTGTGCAGGTGGGATGCTACACTGAGGCAAATGGACCACTGGGACATGTCCAGGATACCCTCTGTAAACCCCAGATATTAACTGCAAATGATAGTTACCCATATAGCCCTCATCCTGATTGGTGATGACAGAATAGCAGATATAGCTCTGCCTGTGTAACCTAACTCCTCTAGCTGCTGCTTTCCAAAGCCCTGCAATTAGACATGGAGATATAAATGCCTAAAAGTGGACAAGCAAATGACAGCTCCTAGCTCAATAGGGAAACCTATTCACAGCATTTTTTTCGTGCTGTATTTCACCCTTTATTATTTTCCTTTCTCTTTCTGCATCTCCAGATTTTTTCTTTCTTTGCGAGCTTGGCTTTGATACCCTTCACTCTCCCCGTGACCTTCAGTCTCAAGTCTTAAGATATCAGTGAAGGTCCTCCACCAATTTAAGCATTAAAGTCTTGACAGGCTCAGAGGATGGGGGTGAGATGCAGCAGAGACAATTAACTGAAGAGAAACTATGGCATCTGATTACTGGCATTAAAAGGAAAAATGAATAATGATAAAATACAAATTGTGTTTGACATAGTAGGTGAAATGGACTGAGAAAAGCCACGAGAGAGCCCATGGGAAGGGGGATTAAGATGAATGAAGAAGCAGAGATGGGATTTAAATAGGGAGAGAATAAGAGCAAGTGAATGTCCCTGAAATCTCTTTTCTCTCTAAGCAGGATGTGCTTTGATGTTTTATCTATAAAGCAACAAAGGCACAGAACACAGAGAAAGCTTGGTCTAGCAGCCAAATCTACTGTAAGGGGGTACAGGCAGCAGTGACAGAAAGAGGGGGTGGAAAGAGGCTGGTGAGGTGGAGTGAAGGAGAAGGCACTGATGGTACAGTATACTCTACAAAGGAAGAACAGAATCATGAAAATTGATGAGGAAAAGGGTGAGCAAACTAAGTTGCAGAGCGGGCGGGCACTATGAATGCAATATGGTTTGGTGTGGGATTGAACAGAAAGGAAGAGAGGGAGAGGTGTCCAGCATGGCACTGCAGTGGTGACGGTGGCAAATGCAGCATGGTGTGACGTCAGTCTTGCAGCAAAGCTGAACTGAACATTGGCAGGCTAATCTGTCCTCTGTAGCATAAAATGAATTCCAATGTTGTAATTACAACATGTGGGTTTACAGTGTAAGTAGCAGTGAGAAGCACCTGTTTCTGGATGCCCACTATCACTTTCAGTAGCTACTCAGGAATTCCCATTTAATCCTGGCCTCCCTCAGATATAAACATCAAAGAAAATGTTGGGATTATTAATATATGGCTCATGACCTGAAGAAGACTTGATGAGAAATAATGAGTGTTTGGCTGCCTTTGAACTGCAGCGCAGTCCAGACAGTGTGGGTAAGCCAAATGCTGTACTGTAAGCAGGGTATTCCTTCATTATTAAAAAATGTCCACTGTGCTTTAAGCTCTCTCAGGTTACGGTGGAAAGGACTGAAGAGTTGCAGCAGAGCAGATGCACAATGCGGCTCACGGCTAAAACAGCAGGCAGGACAAACAGGTGGCTCAGTATTAGACATCCTGACCACACAACACACCCCTGACATGAGCCAGAGACACTCACCCAAAACATTTTCATGCATGTGTGTTCAGTGAACTCACAAGCAGTATGTAAATATGAACATGCTGAAGTAAATAGAAGTGCTCCCCACTCATGTACCCCATGCTCATTTAGACCATGTGAGAACATGCAGGTCTAAACAGGGGAGATATAATTAAGTGGAGAGAACAGAGTGTTGCACAAGTCTCACATGACCTCCTCGCTGCCCATGTCTTTTACACACCACTGCATTTAGAGTACAAATATTTAGCGCTTCATCACTAGAATGCATTTACATATTTAGGCAGGCTTGTATAAGAGCAGGTTTTTGTTTGATTTCTACTCATGTTTAGGTGAGAGGTTATAGTGGTAGGCCATAAACATTAGGGTGGATGATTTCTCACATTTTAGGTATTTATGCCAATCTGTGTACTAGTGGTCATTTTTCTGATTTAGTGTTTTAATAAGGGATGATGATAATAAGTTGATATAAAAGGGGGTGTAATTCAGATTATTGACCATCTGATTGGTAGTATGATACTACAGATCCACCTCTGGTTGCTACTGTGCAGAATCTGGTTGCAAAATACATCACAAAAGCAAAAATGGCTGCCCCCATATATGCTATTTTTGTTTCACTTCTGCATAATTCAGGAATTCGTGGCGCGTTGTCCATTTTTAAATACAGTTTATGGTCACGTATGTTGTGGGCCATGTTGTGAAAAGGTGATATCTAAATTCTCAGTTCTCCATGCACCAAGGAATCAGACCCTCAAAATATTTCCACTGTGCAAATGTACCCATGCACACACAAACAATGCAAAAGGCCCAATACTAGGCTCATAACACATAAATCATATCATTCAGTAGCTGGGTTTGAAAGTTCACATTATGACTTACTAGTATTTTCACTTAAACACGACCATGTTTAGTGGGGACACTCATCAATCCTTGAGTTTTATCATGTTTGCCTCTTTTCAGTTTTACCTTGTGGCATTGTGCCATCTGTCAAGAGTGAAATGTAGAAAATGTGCTCAGTCAGCTTTGAGGTAGTTGTAAGGACAAGCTCCTGTTAGTGCATTTCATCCTTCTGCCTCACACTCAGACGTCTCCCAACACTCCACTAAAACCTCATCACAGGGGACCTAAAAACCTCCCTTGTTATATTCAGAGGCTTGTTAGCAGCACCTGGAATTTGTTTTCCAAGCCAGACACAGTACTCAACAACATTTCTGTACAGTTCTGTACTGTTTCTACATAAAGTAAAATGGAAGCTTTCCACTCATTTTCTGAAACTTGCTTGCTGTCCTTCTGTTTATCTGATGTCCTTATCCTAAGGGACACTTTTCTGACACTCTGAAACTCCCACAAGATTTCAATAGAGGAGTGTAAAAATGATACTTTCAGAGTATAAATTACACAGGCAGTGTTATCTCTGTCTATCCTCTCTTTCCTTTCTGGAGGCTCTAAAATTGTAGCTGAGAAACTTTCAACCAAGTTTTAATCTTTTACTTTGAATCCAGCCAACAAACTTTTTAGGCCACAATTTAATGTGTGTGGGGTGCAGGGCTTCGGTCATCAAGGAAATATCATAGGAATGAAGGTACACGAATTTACCAGCAGGCTTCTGTAATCAATTTGAGCATTTGCTGTTAGGAATCAGCTGTCAGCTAGCTAGCTAGATAATATTAGCTTCATAAATTTGTCTTTTAAAACCACAATGCATCATATGTATTGTATATTGCTAAAACTGTGAAAAGCTTCCATGGTCCTCACCAACTGTTTCCCATGTAGAAAGCATACATGGTAAGAACAAGCATTAATTTTCCAGTGCACTGTAGAACTAGTTACTCCTGCTGTAGTATTATTAGTATGTAGTAGTAGTTAGCTTACATACTTTTTATATTTTGAAATTGTAAACATTTCTGTGAACCTTAAGAAAGAAGGATAACTGTAGATTTGCAGTGCCTTATTTAGGAGGCAACCATGCTCCCAATGTAGACAACATGTTGTGCAGACCTGGTTGATTCATCTCAAGTTGGAAGGTAGATTTGAAATAAAAAAAAAACAAACCTTCATACAAGTTGTACATACCATACAAGTATAAAAAGAAAGAGCTGCACGAGCAGCTTATGTTGAGCAGATAAAGACATTGTCTAATCAATTTCTTACTCTTCTGCTTGGATTTTTCTGTTTTTGACTAGACTAGAACAATAGACATCACCATCTACACTCTTTAAATGCTAAGAATCTTGCTACTGACCATTGCATGCCCCTGCAGCATGTGAAGACATCCAAGGCTGCAATGAACTATTGCTGTTTGGGTGAGGATACTGGCAAACAATCAGTTGATAAGATATTGTCTATAAAAGTAAACCATTCATTCAAACAATTTAAGCTTTCATACCTCTGAGTTGAAGCGTATTTGACAGACATTGCAGGAGATGATTGGCCGTTTTGTCTTCACCATAGGTGGCCCAAAGGTGTGTGTCATCACAGCCTTCTGGACAGGGTCCATCTGAGGAGAGATGACCCAGAGGTCGCATCTAAGATTCAGCAGCATAACAGAAGCTCAGAGGGCTGTGTTTCTCCTAACCTCAGGGTTCAACTGAATGAGGGAGAAAGGCATTAAAGAAAAAGTGCAAGTGAGTGACAAGGGGAGTTGCTAAAGGGCGAGAAAGCTTGGAGATAAAAGAGTGGAGAAGAAGGAATTGAAGCGGGAGTGGTGATTGCTGTGGACAGGAGATTGTGTGTTTCCTCAGCAGCAGCTGGTGCGGCTGTCTGTGCCGGAGCTGGAGTTCTTGGGTGTGGATCAGATGCTTTAATTCATGTTGACAGTACAAGGGCCTAATTACAGACTGCGTAGCTTCAAAAATTCGTACTTAGTTTGTGGGCTACAAAATCTGTTTTAGAAACATGATATTAAAGCATTACACAAAACAACAGAGAGGTTTCTGTGTTTTTCACTAGTAAGAGATAGAATGCATTTTATGTTGGATTCAACCTTATAATTGCTGTTGGGTCCCTATAGCAGGAAAAGCAGTCAAATTTATCAGAAGGGAAATAAAATGCGCACTGAGTAGCTGATAAAGAAATATACATATAAACTGTAAAACATGTTAAGTAACCAAATACAGAAAGGTCTGGCTGTATATAAAAATGTGTCGATGTGTGTATGCCAGCAAGGTAGACAAAAACAAGCCCCATCCCTACTGTCTCCTATTGATGACTGCTGTTAACCATGTTGATCTCACTCTGAATTTTGTCATAGCAGAGGTATAGTGGCTGCCATTTAAAAACATTAGCCCAAAACTTGTTCTTGAAAATACACCCAAGCTTGTCACTCTCAGATCAAGCTCGTGCCACATCACATCATTATGAAATGTTTGCTACCTCATTTCTAGATGACTCAGATGGACACGTGTGAGATTTCTGACCCGTTGGCAGGGTGTTGCCCTAATTAAGCAGCAAGAAGTTAACTGTGGCTTTACTCAGCCTCTCATCTCCTGCTCAGACTGTGAACACATGCTGCCAAATGAGAGGCGGTTTACATTCTTGAGCTCCAGCCACAAGGGGAAATGGTATAATTGGTCTGAAATCTTAAACCCTCATTGAATCCACTGTTAGAAATATTTATACTCTTGAGCCTAATTTGTTTTTCCTTTCCATTTTTTTAAATTTTACTGGAAAGCACCTTGTAACATAGGTTTAGAAAGGTGTTATATAAATAAAGTTTGCTTGCTTGCTTTTCTTTTTATTTTGGCCCCATCTCTGATTTACCTCTTTCTTGTTTTGGGTTTTCTAAGTAGAGGCCTGAAACACCATCGTACTTGTTTGTTTACATTGGTTTCTGTGCAGACACTGAGTGTGGGTGCGGCCTGAATACATGTATATTGTGAATGTGTGTATGTATCTGAGTGTATTATTGTCTAAGGCTATGTTCACATTACAAGACAATACCTTCTGATCTTTTGTCACATCCGATCATTCATGTTTGTGACATGTATCTAACTACAATTTGACCACTGAGCTCCTAAACTGCCACGCATGTGTAGATTTAACTAAAATGTGATCCACCTGTCTACAAGAGTAACAACAAAAATGTCATTTTTCGACTGTCAGATCACACAGTCTCCTCAGAAACTGCTCATTTATGAGATGTTCCTTCCTCTTTGACTTGAACTTCTCCATACAAGTAGAACATCTTTGTCTCTTTACTGACCTCCATCGCTGTTGTTGCTCTCTACTGTGTTTATTTTATATCAGTCTGCTTGGGGCCAACAATGAATGATAACAACAGGCAATATGTGCATGCACAGAGGAGTCAGGCATTGAAAAAAAATACATGAACTCCCATGTGACCATTCTGACACCAGTCATATGGTCAAATATCAGATTTGATATTTGGGCCAGATCTAATATGAAAAAATCTGATTTGGGTTGCTCACAGAAGTGTGAAAATATCAGATCTGAGTCACTTGAAGGAGAAAAAAATTTGATTTGAGTCACATCAGCAGGTAATATGAATGAAGCTTTTGTGTCTTTGTGTATGCCAGCAAATTAGAAACATGAACCTGTCCCATCTCCTATTGGTGACTGCTGTTCACCATGCTGATCTCTCTCTGTCTCTTTTTGTCTTCCTTTGACCACCTGTTTCCTTCAGGAGCTCCCCATATGTACCTGTCCCTACTGTTTTATCCTCATTAACCTATTAGTCACTTTTCGTCTCCTCTTTCACTCAGTCCTCCCTCAGACAGTGGCCCCTTTGTTGCACCACTAATGTACATGTATATGGCTTTGTATTTTATTTGCAGCTCCATTCTTAAATATTTTGTCTTTAATACACTGTAGGGTCTCACATTGTTGCATTTATTTCACTTTAGAGTTCAGTCCATCCTGATTTAGTGAAACCAAACTGAAGCTTCTCTGTGACACTGTTTTAGTAAAGAAGATAGTTAGCTTATTTCAGACTTCTGAATGACTTTGCAAATCTCCAGATTTCTTAGTGATTTACATAGATCTGGTGTTGTGTTATCTAATTCTCCAGGTGGAAAAACAGTCATGCCAATCTATATTTTTTAGGATTTGCGGGATTTGTTAATAATTACAGTACTGATTAAAAATTATGCTCAATTGCTGCTGCTCAAAACAACAACAACAACAACAAAGGCTTAAATTGTATCTCAAACAGGCTTTGGGGTAATGAAATCTAATGAATTCTAAGTGTAAAATAATTTGTGTAACTGACACAGAGACTAATAACCTGTACACTATCCTGCAGCCATACAGAAAACTTATTTATCTCCTGAGTGTTAAAAATCAATAAAACCACAGACTCACTGTGTCCCTCTGCCCATGCAGTATTTTAGTGTGCCTACCTACAGTACACTCTGGTGAATATTAAGTGTCTGACAATTGCAGTACCTGGAAAGCTGGTGAGGTAGACCTGATATAAGTTCTCTAGACAATTCACACACCTCCACCACCCACAGAACAATTGCTGCCCTGGTACATAACTGTGGCTGAATCAGTGATCACAGTACTCGCGTATTTCTGATGCGCTGCCCTTCTCCATGTCCTTACAGTGCCTGCAGTCTCTAAAGATGAGCAGACTGAGCTTGGTCGTCCTGCTTTACATAACAACTCACGCCGAGCTGCAGCCGTCCATCACTGGCTGACAGCAGTGTTGCTGGCTGGTTTTAATTGTACTGCGCAAAGAGAGCGATTTGTATTGAGGTGCTCCAGCATTAGTAACCACCCTCAATGTCCTTGATGAAGCAGGATAAATCTAAACTTGTGGAAGCATCATTTTGTCTGAGTACATACAGATGAGCTGAATGATAGTGTGCGTGTGTGTTGCATGTGCATCCCTGTTTGTCACCATGCTGACCTTCACATGAAACCCAATCTGGAAATGAGAAGAAGAGACCGAAAATGCTGCCTGCTGCAAATGCAGCCTGCACCTCTTATACTGTTGTTTAGTTGTTGCTCATTTTATTGCAGTAAAAAACTTGTCTGGGCATTTTCTCAATTATACTGAAATTCACTCTGCTGAATAAAAAGTAAACGGCTGTCTTTTTATCAATTTTGGATTGTACATTGTAAATCTAAGCAGTTTGTCACTAGTCTTCATTCAGGATGCAGTGCTCCAAAGCTGCAACCGAATACCGGCTCTGTCTCCGAATACCAGTGGAACAAGATGATTACCAGTCCAAGACCCTATCTGCGCATACAGTATTGGTGGACAGGTGCTAGCGTGCACTCACTGTGTTAAAGTTGTGGAAGAGGCAGATGCTGGCTGGGTGAGGAGACTCCAAGGGGAACTGGAGGAAGGGCTTCATGTCCAGCGGGGGTGGGAGGACAGCCGGGCTCCTGAGGAAGGCTGGGACCGGCCCTGGTCGGTTTACACTTCCTGTGGTAGACGCACAATCAAGCAAATTTGAGATTTGAGATGAAAATAAGAAAATCAGAAAACCTCATAAATATTAAAACTATTTCAAGCACTGCTCTTAGTAAGATAATGCAGTGACTGAACAACAAACACAGCCCGTCCTTGATCACACTACCACAATTGACAAAATATTTTCTTATTTCCTTTTTTGTCACAAGTTAGATGAGACTGTCATGTCCATATGTTACATATGGAGCTACTGCCAGCAGCTGGTTAGCTTACACTGCTTACATAGCTTAGCACAAAGACAACAGGAAAAAGAGAGTCTGGCTCTGTGCATACGGTATTTACTGTATGTGACAGTGGTATCAGTTTTCTCATCTGGCTCTTGGCAAGCTAAACATCATATCAGAACAGCTCTAAAACATCTTCAAACTATAGCAGGTACATTTTTTTTTAATGCTCCATTTCTTTTAAATGTAAACCGCATCTTTTGCATCATTCTCCCATGGTGAGCCCCACTACCACCCACACATCTCCTCTCTCTGCTTCTCTTGCACACTTTTCTCTCAGTAATAGCTCTGCAGCGGTGAATGCCTGCACTTGAGGAGTCTTATGTGACGAGCAGGAGGGCTAAGCTCCTTAAGCCTCACAGCTGGGGTGCTGCAGATATCCGCCTTTTCTCCATTTCTCCCTCTGTCTCACACCAAGCACAATTTTCTGTCCCCCATTTCATGATCCCCTTCTCTGTCTGTCCGCCTCTGTACGTCTCCTCACCCCGCATCAGTTTCTCCATATTTTTGATTCCTCCTGCTCCTCCTCCTAATCCCATTTCTGTTTCACCCTCTCCATTCCAGTTATTTTGTTTAGTGTAAAACCAGCAGGGTACCTCAGGCCCAATTTGGCCACGCAGAGAGAATTTGTATAATCTTTTCTCCTGAGAATATACACAGCCCTGCTCTGTTATTACTTCCTCTACTGGATGACTACTCAACAATTTAGTTAAATAAAAACTGAAAACTGAAAATAAAAACTGTCCACTTGTCAAAACAGGAGGAAGAAAGGGCTATTTTGGTAACAGCAGAGGAGGCTTCTTTCACCGACAGCAGGGAAGACGTGAATAATGCACCCTCAGGATCAGAAATAGATGGAGGGGAAAGTGTCTCCTTCAAGCGCTGCTCTTCAGCCAGTTTCAGCTCTTAGGAGGCTGTGGCAGCTGAAGCTCAGCTGTACAGCTGTAGCTACTTTGGCATGTGCTGCAGGAGAAGGCAGGAGTTTAGAAGATATAGGAAGAGGAACAAGATGTGGTCATCGCTTAAATGCCCCTTCAGACATGCCCTAAATCCCACACCTCACGTGGTCACTGTTATCACCTCACTAAACCAATATCAGCAGTGTTTGCACAAAAAGCAGTAATAACACATCTTAGTTCATATGATTGTGAAGGAATGAGTGAATGGTCAAGACCAGATGTCATGGAGAAATGCATGAAAGCAGTACAATTATAACTACATTTTATGTTCTTTAAAAAAATCAAGTATGGAGATATTCGTAAATAATTTAGAAAATTTGGTGCATTTTTTAAAATTCTTATGTTGAAATATTAATAAATAAAGATGATGATATTTAATGTATTGTCTTGATTGAAGACAGTAAATGTGTCACTCAAATCATTACTACTGAAGGTATAAGTCTAAAAATGGATCATAAACCTATGTTAATTTAAAAGGCTATATAAATTTCTAAAACAGCTGGGCACTGGAATTTGTATCAAACATTACTCAAATAGAAGTAAATTGTTGGACCTATTTTCAGCTGTGGATTAATAAGCACTAGTACATACTGTACTTGCAGCAGCAGGACTGTGTTTGTGGGAATGACAGTGTCACCAAGTGCAACTCCTGTTTATACACTGACATTCCTTGTTGATCATAAAAACGGAACATGTCATTAAGTGCAACTCCTGTTTATACACTGACAGGCCACTTTATTAGGTACACCTGTACGACTGTATGTAGTTAAGTTCAACACTTCTGCCTTAACATGTTTATGAAGCTCAAAAGGTTTCATATATAATATAGTCCAGTACAACACCACCTTTAACTGTGACCTTAATAGTAAACATATAATTGAATTTATACCTTTATGACAATTTCACCAAAAACTGAAACATTCAGAGCTTCATAAACACAGATATTAAAGTGGAAATGTTGCATTTAACTGCATATAATTGTACAGGTGTACCTAATAAAGTGACTGGTCAGTGTATATTTTAATAGATTTTGGCCAACAGTGGAGGTGATGGAAATAAGCTACACAAACCACACGTGTTAAAAAGATCAATTAACTGTTCGTTTGGGGATAATTTATCACATTTGTTGGCAATAATAAAAACACAGAATATCCCCAGGCTTATTTTTTCTGAAAATCAAAGTCACTAATAATATTATGTGGATTATTTCTAATGTTTACCTATTTCATCCAATCTGTGAAATGATGTGGAAGCGTCTCATATGCAATAAAGTGCATGGTTAACAGTGCAAATAGTGGGACAGTAATGCCTTGTTGGGTGAGGGGTATTATCACTGTATCCTCTTTGGTCAGCGAAGCGTATTCCTTACACGCTTCTGGTAAATCCTCAGCTCATTTTACGCCACATTACAATTTAAAGGTCACAGCATGTCCGCTGTTACTTAGAAATAAGCATTTACAGTGCAGACACACATACAATAGAGTAATGTATTTAAAGTTGGCACACATTGTTTTCAGTGTCACATTCTCACTGCAGCGTGAGTGTAGCAGCAGTGCCCCCAACCAACCCCCCTCCTGAGTGATTTACAATGACATCAGATAAGCGAACATCATGACTCTTCAACAGCGGCCATGCAGGGTGGGAGAGCATTGATTGGGCGCATTCTGAGGAGCGTTAGTGTTAAAGTGCTGCCAAACTCTATAAATCCAGGCCTCACCATCAAATGCTTGTTCTCTCCACTAAAACGAACCGACAGCGCCGTCTCACCCAGCCCCCTCATCTTACTGCCTTTTTTCTAATGCAAATGTTTGGCCGAGAAAAGGATCAATACCCGTGTAATAGCTTATTGGATTTTTGTGTATATTGTGAGAGAAAAGCAGTTGGACAGAAATGAAGAGATGCAGAAAAAAGAAAAGGCTGGGACTGAGGAAAAACTGAGACAGAATCTTACCATCATAGTAGATTTCACCAGCCCTGACGTGTATACACAGGCATGCACGCCCCAATATGCTGTGACTAAGGCCTCTCAAATTGGCAATTCATTTAGCCAATTTAGTTTAAATGATCACAGAGGTAATGTCAATGTCAGTGACGTCGCTGGAGCATCTCAACATTCCCTCCCTGCCTCCATCTTTGTGCTTCGTGTTGGGACCAGCAGGGAAGGGGACAGGGGAGTGGGTGTCATGCTGTCTATCAGAATGAAGTCTGATGATAGGAAAGAACACTACAGGATCCTACCAAAACAGAGAAATATGTTTTAAAAAAGGAATTTCCAGGCCCCTCAGCTCCACACTCAAAACAGAATGTGACCACCTCACATCTGCATCTAAATGGGCTGCTGTGCACAGATGACTCTGAAATGAGCTTCTGTGGCAGATTAGCCTGCCTCCCCCTGACAAAAACCTTGCTGTCACTGCAGCAGAGGAACAACCCTGGGGTGGCAGCTGGTGTGTTAGCATAAAACCACTGGATCTGCTTTGTTCTTGTTTGTCTTTCCAACAGCTTTGTGTACAAGACAATGTGAAAAAGAGACAGGGTCAAACGCTTCATGGCATATGACACCATCACTATGTTCATCATCCTTTGCTGATGATATTACTATTGATTCATGGGTCCTGGGTGTTGTTTTGTGGCTAAGCTGTTGGCTGCCTGCTACATCATTATATCTAAAATAAATGTTCAGGTGGGTCATGTGGTTTCATGGTCAAACCCTTAAACAACCACAGTGCTAACTTTACCATGATTGCAAGGGGAAGATGGCTTTGTCTTAGTGTCACACATTGTTTCTGTGAAGGACTGAGCATGAAATCCAGTTTACTACAGCTCAGCTTACCCTCAAGTCAAAGGCAGCTATTTCAACCTAAGCTGGGGACAGATGACAATACATGCACACACACATTCACACACAAGCCTCTATAGTATGAATGAATGATGCTTTAAAAAGAGTATCTTATAGGCTCAAAGCTGATTAATGTTATGTTGGTCTGTGTGAGATCTGACACGGCAACGAGGAGAGCTGAATGCTAGTGAAGGACAATAGAGTTGATTTCAGTCTGCACTTTGTTTTAATGATAGATGTTCTGCGCCCCATTGGCCAGGCTTAAATGCCACCTCCCAGCGAACTCTCACAAGTCCTCTTTTACTGGACATGTGTTTATTTGTGTGTGTGTGTGTTTATCCAGTGCTCTTGAGATCAGCTGGTGCTTCTGCAGCTTCACTCTCTTGATTTTATGCAGTAGTTTTGATTAATGAAGACTTTTGTTTTCCCCTACAGATTTTACAGTGCTCTCATTAAAATAAAAAATGGTGGCACATTGTTTTGTTTGGACCTTTCCCTGCTAACAATTTCTCCTGAAAAATTGTGTATGGCTCTCCATAGTATTTGGTTAAGAAACAACATATAGAAGTAAAACAGCCTGTGATCATCATGGAACGGAAGAGGATGAGCAGAAGGGAGCTTGGCAGTGGGTCTGAGTGGCTGGAGTCAATTGAGCGTGGAAAAGAGGTCTGGACGAGGAGGGGAGATGAGGTGGAAAGAGAAGGAAAATGGTGGGAAGGGAATGCATATTTTGAGGTGAGTCCAAGGTGAGCGGAGGAGATAAAGAGCCCTGTTAACCTGCAGGTTAACGTAGAGAAGAAACGCCATGTACTAACTGAGAAAAGCAGTTACATTCCTCAAAGCTTAACTGCAGCATGTGACATATCGTACATGTGTTAAAAATCTCATGGTAACATTGTCAAAGTACTGAAAACACTCCAGTCACTACAG